AGGAATACTACTCAGCTACTAAAAACAAGGAAATCATGAAATTTGCAGGCAAATGGTGGGAACTAGAAAAGATCATCTGGAGTGAGGCAACCCAGAAACAGAAAGACACACATTGTATATACTCACTCATAAGTGGATATTAGCCACATAATATGGGATAAACATACTGAAATCTATACTCCTAAAAAAGCTAAACAACAAGTAAGACCCTAGGGAAGATTCTCAATCCTTATTCAAGACAAACGTGATAAACATTGGAAGCAGGAGAGATGGGGTTCAAGACAGGAGCCTACCACAGATGGCCTGAAAGACTGAAAGACTCTACTGATCGAGGTTATCTAAGCAGATGCTGAGACTCATAGCTAAACTTTGGGCAGAGGGCATGGAATTTTATGAAAGAAGGGGGAGAGAGAAAAGACCCGGGGGGACAGGAGCTCCAAAAGGAAACCACAGATCCATAGATAGATAGATAGATAGATAGATAGATAGATAGATAGATAGATAGATAGATAGATAGATAGATAAAAATAAAAGAATCTGGAGAGGACCTAAACCCCTGCTCAGATGTAGCCCATTGACTCAGTATCAAGTTGGTTCCCTAATAAGGGGAGCAGGGGCTTTCTCTGCCATGAACTTAGTGACAGGCTCTCTGATCACCTCTCCCTGGGGGGTGCAGCCTTGCCAGGCCACAGAGAAAGACAATGCAGACAGTCCTGATGAGACCTGATAGACTAGGATCAGAGGGAAGGGGAAGAGGGCCTTCCCTATCAGTGGACTAGGGGAGAGGCATATGGGGAGAAGAAAGAGGGAGAGTGGGATTGGGAGGAGATGAGGGAGGGGGCCACAGCAGGAATACAAAGTAAATAAATTGTAATAAATGATAATGATAAGTAATTCTAAAAAAGATTTAGTGTTTAGTTCAAAATTTTGCTCCAACCACACAGTGTAGGAAACAGATGTTATGTTCTCTTGCTTTGACTGCCTTTGGAAATACACTGAAGCACTAGGTCAAGAGAGTTCTTTCTAAGGGACAGGAAATAAGAAAGTACAGGGAATTCGTATGAAGAAGAAAAGAATCAAAAGGAAGGTGACAGGAATCTGAATAAAATAACACAGTGGAGTAAAACCAACCTTTTAAAAGCTTTAAAACTTGGCTTGTGTGGCTTGGGAAACCCATTGTATAACGGTGTGTGTTTAGGGGTTAGTTATGTTATGGTGATGTGTGTGCCTGTTCACAAGCTTGATATACCAGTACGGAAAAATCATTGTTGTAGAGTGTAAGAAAAAAAAAAAATAGAGAATCGTAGCCAAAAAGGGAGAAGAAAAGGATGTTAAAATAGAGACACTACTTAATTAATTAGATTGCAAATCATTTTGTGGGTGACTGTGACCTCTGGTGTTAATCTAGGGGAATTCCAGCACTTGCTTGCCTTAATGGGAGAAAGGGGAAGAAACCTGAGTGTGAAAGGCTCTCAACAGAAACCACTGATGCTTGCTCTAAGTATATTCTTTTTCCTCCCTCTCTCCTTTCCCACTTACTCACAGATATAAAGTGCAAAGACTATCCGCATGGAAAGTAGTCTTTGTGGCTTTAACTGTCTTACTTTACTGTGTTTAGCCCTATAATTGTATATAACAATGGTTCTCAACCTTAATACTGTGACCCTCTAATACAGCCTTCCCACGTAGAGAGCCCTAACCATAAATTATTTTCCTTCCTATTCATAACTGTAAATTTGTTCCCTGTTGTGAATCATAATGTAAATATCTGTTTACTGATGGTCTTTGGGGGTTTCGACCACAGGTTGAGGACCTCTGCTATATAGGAACAAAATCAGAGTAACTATATTTTAAAATGTCATCTACCAATTTTATTTTTTGTTTAAAGAGAAATACTGATAACAAGGATGTCTTAACCTGGCACCTGTCATAATTTATGGCAATTGTCAAAGATGCCCAAGCATCTTTCAAACTAATAGTGAAATAATCGTTGCATTTCTAAGCCCACAATTTTCAGCATGATTCTGGAGGGCTTCCAGTCTGACTTGGGCACAGGTGTGTATTATCAAGGAGTTGTTAATTGTGATCAGCTTTCTTTAATGGAAAGAGAGTAAGTGTCTCATTGACCTGTTCCCCATCTCTTTGGTCATAGTGACTATCACATTATTATTTTATTAACTCTCATATTTGCTGGGCTGAAATAGTGAGTACTTCATGTGTCAGTAACCCATTCTATACCAAAGTATACACACACACACGCACACACGCACACACACACACACACATATATATATATATATATATGGTACATATGTGAATATACATACAAAGCATATATGTGTATACATATACATGTATGTATATATATAATGCATTTATACTATATATATATGTATGTATATATATATAATGCATTTATACTATATATATATGTGTGTGGAGTAAGGTTCACTATTGTCTTCTGTTTTGGTTCTGAAGCTGTGAAAAGCTTTAACTGTGGTATTTGGGAAAGTTGGCTTAAGCTTAACAGAAGGGGTTGTGTCTTTGGCTTTTCTTATGACATTTTAGAAAGGCTAGAATGTTAAGTATTTTTAAATTGAGTAGCAACTATTGTGATATTTCTGGAGAAGCCTATGAAATCTTTTCTAAATTCATGAGCAGGTGATGAACATTATTTTTTTATATTTTTTGGAGTATTCAGAGATATTTTTTTTTTTGTTTGAAATAGAAACATTTCACTCAATCTATAAAGAACCATAAAAAGAGGCTATATAATTTGTGGCAATGTGCACTAATATTGGGTGGATTATATAGTTGAATTAATTTTTTTTCAGAAGAAAATAATCTAGAAGCTTTCATTGTAAAGTCATTTTAATGTACGCATGGACATGTGTCACCATATCTGGCTCTTTTTTAACCCAGTAAGAGCCTTATGTAGCCTCGCCTAGCTTCAAACCCACTAGGTCTGTGATGGTGGCCTTCTATTTCCTGCCTCCATTTCCCAAGTGTATTATCTAGGCACGAACAACCATGTCCTCCTTCCCCAGGAATTCTTTTCTGAGATGTGTGCACTATCAGGTGCCCTCAAAATTCAACACATTTCTTAATTCTAAACACTATTTGTTTCCCATTCCGAGATTAAAAAAATCATAATATGTAATAAGAATGTCTGATTTTTTTTTTTTTTTTTTTTGCCAGTAAAATTCAGCTCTTAACCAGTATCATTAAGAAAGTGAAGCCTTGATTATTCATTATCTCCTGTCAAGGACTATGGCTCTAAACGCAATTCTCTCCCTTTCCCTTCTTAATCTATTTACTTGTGTACACGAACATTTTAAATTGCTTAACACACTTGCAAAGAATATCCAGAAATAAATTATTCACTCAATGGCACTGAGCACACACACACTTGCAGATACCTGGTAAGCAACTTTAGGGCAGCTGCTGAGTAGAATATCAAGAAATTGGATCCAGCTGAGAATTCCAATTACCTAATGAGAGCGATCCGCTTTCGCTTTAATTTCTTGGTCTAATCTGTTAGACAGTAATCTTCATCATAAGAAAAATAACACTTAACTGGCAATTTAAAACTGAAACATTTAAGTGGCCAATTCAATCTTTTTTTTTTTTCTTTAGGAAGACAGAAATTTCAATCCTCAAATAAATACAAATGTACCGCTTAATAATGGATTATTAACTAAGAGCCCTCAAAAAGACCTCCTACAGCTCTTTGTATAGCTCAATAAGGACACAACATGGCAAAATTCAAAGTGCAGCTTTTACTGGTTTATTAGAGATTAATTAACCATTATAGCTAAGTCTAGGGAAACTCCCTGTCCAAGAACAGCGATTATTCAGTCGAGTCACCATCACGCTATTAATTGGCAGTCAGATGGCTTCAGGCCCCTCGCCTAGTCGCTGCAGACTGGCCTCGACAGGGAAGATGCTCGGCTTCTGCGCATTAGTGACCCGCCTTTGCTTTGTGTCTGTACTGCAGGTCTGGAGGAAGAGGGAAAACAAGAGAAGCTGGCGGTCTGCGGTGGCTGAGCAGCCCCCAGACCCTGGAACAGGGCTCCTCTGCACCGCCAAAGTAGCCCTCGGACCTACCCACTCAGGCTGCCTGAGCGCCGGAGCCCTGGACCCGGAGGACAGGGGCGGTAGCCCCTCATGTTCCGGAGATCGCGCAAATGTGAGCGGGCGCTCGCGGGGAAAGCCCTCCGCCCCCGCCAGGGGGACCCGGGAAGCCCGCTCCGGCTCCTCCCCGGACGCCGGGGATCCCCTCCTCCGGCCCCGCCCCCTCCTCCCCCAGCCCCGGCGCCGCCAGGTTAACCCTGTCCGCGCCGCACTGCTCTCCTGTGAGAGCTACAGCGCCGCCAAGGCCAGCTCTCGGACTTAGGGAGCTAGGCGGCAGGGACACATCCCTGCTAGGGGTCGGATACGCTCCCTCAGAGGCCAAACCGGGCATCCGGCGTTGGCTCTCTCCCAACGCTGATACATTCGCACGGGCAGTCGCCAAACTTCTAATTTCCCTCCCCAAAGCCAGCGTGGCCCGCAGTTCCTTGGTCAGCAGCCTGCAGCCCACTCGGCCAGGACGACGTGGGGAAAGAGGGAACCGGGCTAGCCGTGCTGTCTCGCGTACCTCCAGGGCGAGAGGGCGGGAGAGTGGCTCGGGTTTCGCACCGTTCTGGCGCCTGCCCCATGACCAGGGTGACCAGACGTGCTGCAGTGCCCCAAGCAGGTCATTCGGGCCAGCGTGTCCCGCACCAGTCAGGGGGCCGCCGCCATAGAGCGAGAGGCACAGCTCTCGCTCGCTCTCTCTCTTCCACCTCTGCAGCCCGCCACTGTGCATGGGGGAGCTCAGTCTTTCCAGCCATGGTACCGGATGCACGCGCTCCGCAGGTGGAATCCCCGCCCTCGAGGGCCCTCACCCCGGCCAGAGCCGGCCTGCGCCACCCCGGTTTTCACTCCGCAGACTCCCCTCCCAACCTCTCTCACATACATGCACCCCTAAGCCGCGCGCGCCGCAAACTCAGTCTCGGTCCCCGCAGGTGATGTCATGCCCATTGTTTTGGTGCGCCCAACCAATCGGACTCGCCGCCTGGATTCTACCGGAGCCGGCATGGGCCCTTCCTCGCACCAGCAGCAGGCGTCCCCGCTCCCGACCATAACGCATTGCGCAGGGTGCACCACCGCCTGGTCTCCCTGCAGCTTTAACAGCCCTGACATGGAAACCCCATTGCAGTTCCAGCGCGGCTTCTTCCCGGAGCAGCCGCCGCCACCGCCGCGCTCCTCGTACCTGCATTGCCAACAGCAGCCACCGAGCCAGGACAAGCCGTGCGCGCCCTTCGCGCCCCTCCCGCACCCGCACCACCACCACCCGCACCTCGCGCACCAGCAGCCGGGCAGCGGTGGCAGCAGTCCATGCCTCCGGTGCAACAGCTGCTCCTCCTCCGGTGCCCCGGCGGCGGGGGCGGGGGCGGGGGATAACCTGTCCCTGCTGCTCCGCACCTCCTCGCCCGGCGGCGCCTTCCGGACCCGCGCCTCCTCGCCCCTGTCGGGCTCTTCGTGCTGCTGCTGCTGCTCGTCGCGCCGGGGCAGCCAGCTCAATGTGAGCGAGCTGACGCCGTCCAGCCATGCCAGTGCGCTCCGGCAGCAGTACGCGCAGCAGCCCGCGTCCGCCTCCCAGTACCACCAGTGCCACAGCCTACAGCCCGCCGCCAGCCCCACGGGCAGCCTGGGCAGCCTGGGCTCCGGGCCCCCGCTCTCGCACCACCACCACCACCCGCACCAGGCGCCCCACCAGCACCACCAACCCCAGGCGCGCCGCGAGAGCAACCCCTTCACCGAAATAGCCATGAGCAGCTGCAGGTACAACGGGGGCGTCATGCGTCCGCTCAGCAACTTGAGCTCGTCCCGCCGGAACCTGCACGAGATGGACTCCGAGGCTCAGCCCCTGCAGCCCCCCGCGTCCATCGTAGGAGGAGGCGGCGGCGGCGCGTCCTCCCCGTCTGCTGCCGCCGCCGCCGCCTCGTCCTCAGCCCCGGAGATCGTGGTGTCTAAGCCGGAGCACAACAATTCCAACAACCTGGCGCTCTACGGAACCGGCGGCGGAGGCAGCACCGGAGGCGGCGGCGGCGGCGGCGGCGGCAGCGGGCATGGCAGCAGCAGCGGCACCAAGTCCAGCAAAAAGAAGAACCAGAACATCGGCTACAAGCTGGGCCACCGGCGCGCCCTGTTTGAGAAGCGCAAGCGGCTCAGCGACTATGCGCTCATCTTCGGCATGTTCGGCATCGTGGTCATGGTCATCGAGACCGAGCTGTCGTGGGGCGCCTACGACAAGGTACCGACTTTCGCCCCCGAAAACCCTGAGAGAGCGGGAGCCAGTTGGTTGGGATGGGCTCCGGCGGGAGCCCCTGGCCTAAGAGGTGCCAAGTGTCCCCGGGATCATCAGGCGTGCCTGCTATAGCGGCAGGAGCAGCTAGGACGCGCACCCTAGTCCGCTGGGGAACTCGGAGAGGAAAGTTCTCCGGGTGCTGAGTGTCCAGCGCGTTTAGGCACGTTAATAAGTGGCTCCTGGAGTCCGTGGGAAAAGCATGATTTGTTCCTCTCCTGGTGCTCGGGTTTCGGAGGCATCTTTCAACTCAATGTGCTTAAACTCTGGAGCAACTTCCCTAGGCTTTAGCGAGTCGGGTGCCTTGTTTCAGCCCCTCATAGTGCTGACCCCTTGCCCAAGCCTCTAGTTTTCTCTTGCTCCCTGCTCCTCTTGCTGGGCTTTGTGGCCAAATAACCTCCATCCCAGAGCCAAGACAGATTGTCCCTCTCCTCCTTCTCCTACCTTCCTTCAGTTCAGGTCCACGTGCTGGAATTGACTCTCCTGACCTGGAAGGTGGTTGAAAAGTGCTTCCTTCTTAAAGTGTTTCATCTGTGTTGCAGGCGTCGCTGTATTCCTTAGCTCTGAAATGCCTTATCAGTCTCTCCACAATCATCCTGCTCGGTCTCATCATCGTGTACCACGCCAGGGAAATACAGGTAACACAGGCTCCGCTGTTTTTTTGTTTTGTTTTGTTTTTAATAACCAGAAGCCATGCAGACAGCTTAAGGGGAAAGCAGGATTGAGGGGCCTTTTCCAAGCCGCTGTGTCCTTGCTCGAGGTTACAGAAAACTCATGGACCGTTAGCTCGGCACCTGACCTGTCCATTCGGAAAGTTAAAAACAGAACGAGTCAACACAGCATATCAGCATGCATTTGATAAAGTTTTAAGAATATCCTCAACTTCTTTTGTTCAATTCAATCCCACCAGCCTCGTGTTTTTAAAGAAAAGATAGACACGACCCTGAATCCCTGCAGCAACGTGTGCTCTTGTTTGAGACACCTTTTCTTAATGAGTAAATCATTAGATTGATCTTTTCAAGCTTAGAATTTAGAGGAATATTTTTAAGCCATAATTAGTCATTGGTGGGTCTATGAAACCTACAGATCTGGGCTGCCTTTGAACATGAAATGTTGTCTGGATTTGTCAGGCAGTTTATTGTCGATTTAACTTTTTTTTTTTTCAAATTAGTAATTACTAAGTTACAGAAAAGATAGAAGAATTCAGTTTTAATGACTGTCCAAACAGAATAAAGATACAGCTAACAAGAAGAAGAAGAAGAAGAAGAAGAAGAAGAAGAAGAAGAAGAAGCAGAAGACCTTTTGTTTCCTTGTTTGTTAAAACTTTGAAAAAGTATGTTTTTGAAGGGATGTCTACAGAGAATGAGGGTAAAATGAGAGGGTTTTTGGAGTGGGTAATGGTAGAAAAAGGCTGAATTTTAAAATAGTAGAACAGTATACAGATCCTTCTTCAGTGCAGCCCTCACAATGGTGGCATTTTGAGATTCTTCCAGACGTCCCCCGAGGTACTCTACTGTGCCCTAAACCTGAGTCATTTCGACTTGAAGAGAGGAAGATAAAGAATGATCCTTTGACTTGGTTTCCAGATAGAAACAGTCTGGGGAAGTGAATAGCCTTGCCAGGTCAGGCGGTAAGAGGCCCAACTTGAATGCAGGCACTGCCTTCTCAGCTTCCTCTAGGCTTCCTCCTCCTGGGCCTTGCTGCTCAGCAAGAGTCCTGCAACACTGAGAAGACTATTTGTGCTTTACCTCCAGACACAGGAGTTCAATAGATGAATAGGCTAAGTTCAGAATGGTTCTCTAAGATTTTCTTATAGGTTCTCTAAGATTTTCTTTAGGGACCAGAGTGGTTTTGTTCAAGCCATGCTCAAATGAGAGACCTTGTCAATTGTGTTTTTATTCATTTTAAGCTTCCCTAGTGCTCACCTTTACTCTGAAAGCACATAGCTGAACAAGCAACCATGGGGTGGGGGTTGCTTGTGTTATCCTCAAGAGCAAGGTGTCTTTTTAAAAAACACAAACTTTTCAAGAATTATGGAGAAGTTTTTGACATAACTCAGGTGTAAGAGGAGCTGCTTAGTATTTATTGCTTACGTGTCCTACAATTTTGTTATAATGTAATTTTTAAAATGCTACCAATAGATATAAAATATTTTAACAGATTAGTTAATGCTTGAAACATTGCCTTCATTGGGTGATCTGTGCATATCTGTCATGTTGACTAGATAAAATGGCACAGCAAGGAAAGCTGGGACAAGGGACTAGCCCTCTGGAGAATACATATAGTGAACTTATTAACTTCACAACACAGACATCAGGAGATACTGGGTTTTAAAGCTGGGTTTATTTATGATCTATGTGCCACTGTTGAACCTGCCATCTTTGCTATGGTAACTCCAAGAGAGAGGTCTGGGTAATAATGTCTAGTTATTTTGGATACAGCTTTAACAAAAATCACTGTTTTTATCAAGAGGATTTTTTCTTCCAATATTCTTATCTGCAGTACTTCCTTAAAATGAAATAAAATGGTCTGGAGAGCTGGCTCAGCAAAGTAAGAATACATACTGCTCTCACAGACAACTGAGTTGGGGGCCCAGCACAACTGCTTGTTACTCCAGCTCCAGGGCAATCCAATGCCTAAGCACCCATGTACACACACACACACACACACACACACACACACACACACACACACACAGATGCACGATTTAAGATGTAAAATCTTTTTTATTTTCCCTAAATTCCTTTTAACAAAATGAAAAGTGATAAATTTACAAGTAAACTTGGAGCCAGTAGTCAAGAAGAACCTGAAAAAGTAGAGCCTTCTCATTTGTCCAGAGAACATACTACTTTAAAGTTTGGAGGACTATGATCTTTATGGACAGTTAGTAGCAGTGTGCTTCTTTTAGTGGTATTCATGTCACTATGGGAAGAGTATATTTTTTATATAGTTTTTTTTAAGCTAATGGACACTTCAGATTTTATTATAAAGAAATCCAAATATATCAGTTTATCTCTGAGGTAAGGCAGTAAGCACAGGGGCTGTGCTGGCATTTGGAGCATGTCCTTGAATGTAAGATATCAAAAGTGACAATTTTTATTTTATTTTATTTTATTTTATTTTATTTTATTTTATTTTATTTTTTGTCGTACAAGTATTGGGTTAGTGACAGCTAGCCAAGGTGAGTTACTCATGCAGGATGTGATTTTCTACTGCATTCAGAAACGGTGTTTCAGCTGATGTCCCGACATTCTGTCTGTGAGAATCGCTTAACCAAGCCTGGGGAGGTCCTGACATTTTCATGGAGAACCCTGGAAAGCAAGGCTCAGTGTGACCTTTGATAAAATGTTTATACATGATGTGGCAACAAAAAATGATTCAGGTGACTCATGGGTAGAAGTGCTTGGATTAAAATAGTGTGGTGGGGAGGATTTAGAAGAACACAGCACAGCACTTTTCAGCTATAGGGTCATTTTTCAGTACCACAGACAGCTCAATGCATGGACTGCATATATAGTTTATTTCATTAGTTACTTTTACTCCTAACAACCAGAAATGAAATTATTATTATTATTATTATTATTAGTCAGAATGCTTATTTAGAATTCAACAGAGTGGGAGAAATTCTGCAGCTAAGTAGATATTGGACTTTTTCAGATGCATATTTGGCTTTGCTTTCTGCATCAATCAGCAAATCCAGAAAAGAAAAAGAAGTGCAGGAATATAGTGAATATATAAATAAACCAACTTTAATACTTGCCTCTGTAATCATCATCTTTTGACAAATGCAGTTGGCTTTAAGGATTGTTATTTATCCAATTTGAAATTATTTGTGATACTGTGTAAATAGCTTTCTATCTCGTGTCTCAAGGTTAAATAAGAGGAAAAGCAGAAGCATGATTTCAGAGATGTTTCTTTTTGTTCTCACCCCTGCAGTCGGGCTGAGGATTTTTTTTTTTTTCAGAATAAATATAAATGAAAGTCTTATCCTTAAGGAAGTCTGAATATAGATTTCATTTAATCTTTTCAACTTTATCTCTGCAGCATTTTTTTCTCATGGAAACAAGTTTAGTATAAAAAATGAGTTATTTAATATTTTTAGATTTGCCAAAACAAGACTGCAGTGTGAGGAAGGGAGCCCCTTGGAGTGCAAATGGTCTTTCTGGACTTATGGAACGCAGAGACTGGCAGGTCCTCTACTTTAAATTGGAAAGTATTTTTTTCTTTGGTAGTATAATTACACGATATATAGCACCAGGGAAACATTTAGCTTTCCTTGGATCATTTATAATGGAATTCCTCTGCATTTCTTTCAAATTCAGTTTTCAGAGATAGATTATGTAGTTCTATAGCTGGAAAGATTGAAATTCAGATTTCTTTTTACTTGTGAACCATAGCCCTGCAGAGGAGGAGTGCTTGCTGAGGATGGGGTCTTAGTGACCTGCCTGTCTTCTGGACAGCTGGGCAGGATTGACATCTCACTAGCTGGTAGGCTCTGTGTGCTTCCTGTAATGGAGGAGACATTTGCTTTCTCACTTCTACAGGGAACAAGTGTATGCTCCCAAACCATGCCAAAATTACCCCATATAGTCATTGTTGTTTTTACAAAGTAACAAATACACAACGTAAAAATAATTCCAACAGCACAGAAGGACAGGAAAACTGGGAAGTTACATTATATGTCCACTCAGTCTGTCTCACAGAGGTAACTGCTTTTGCATGTCTTATGTGTCCTTTAAGAATTTCAAAATTAAAAATATTTGGAAGTAGCGATATACATATATAACTTGCTTTTATTCTGTAATGCATTTCAGAGGTGTTTCCTTCCCATCAGTACCTAGTGACCTGGCTCATTCTTCTCTTGCATGGGGTCCAATCCTATTTTTTCATGTGCTGAGGATTGCTGTGTCAGCCCTGTAATGAGTGCTGATGAATAAGTTGGAGTTTTCTACTTAAAAAAAAAAATACATATATACATGGGCTTATTTGCATCTATTTTGTTATATCTAGCAGACTGTCTATTATTTAATGTCCCTGAAACTGAATAATCATCAAAAAGGTGTGATCAGAAATGAGCATTTTAAAATTTTGTCTGACTTTGAACATTTTGAATGAAGTTAGGGATGGTGAAGAAGGCTGAGGAGTTAGAAATTATCTTAGGGTCTGTTGTGGCTATGACATAAATGGGAGATGTGGCTGCAGAGTGATGATTTGGCTCCACAGATGCTGGGTGGGAAGCTGACTTGCTCTGTCATGTGATTAGCAGCTCAGTGGCTGAGTTATATCACCCACAACCTCCCTGTCAGTACCAATGACACTCTGAAGCCTTTTGACTGTTTGTATACCGTAGTAACGAAATCACTCAGGACTAATTTTCCCCGCCTGCACGTGTAAAGATCTCTGCATTATTAATGGGTGTGACACTAAATAACGTGATCCTGGTGTGTTTACAGAGCAGCATCACAAATGAATGGAGAGTAGAGCTTCAGGTTTACCACTAGTGCCTTTGCCTGACGATCTGTCCCATTTCGGAGCCACTTTGTGTGCAGCTGGAAGGAAGGGCCCCTGAAGGCTGTCATCATCCCAGACCACACTTGGCAGAGGAGACTAAGGAAGCCTGCGTTGAGTTAGTGCCAGG